CCCCTGGAAGTGTCCCCGGATCGCACGCTGCAGCAGGTGCCCCCTTGGGGCTCCCAGGGCAGCAGGGCGGTATTTTTTCTTAAGCGGGCTGCCCAGGCATCTCTGGGCGGGGCCAAGGCCCGCCACCGTCGCCGCGTGCAATGGGTGCCGAGAGCTCTCCGGGCACATGTCTATGCTGCCCAGTCCTACTGGGTGGCCAGTCGGGGACCCCCGCATGCTGAGGGGTGGGGAGGCCCCAGGATGCCTCCACCATCGCCCAAGTGCAGCCGGGGCTGGGCCCTGGGCGGGTGGGTCTGGGAGGCCCGCTCGGGGCCGCTGGGACAGCTCCGGCCCAGCCTCCGGGACCCGGCAGCCCCCTCGGGCCGTGACTGTGCGGTCAGCCTTCAGCCTCCAGGTCTGTGTCCCAGACACCAGGGCCCTGATGAGGTGTCACTTGTCAACCTACTGGCATTTATTAGGTGGCTACCGTGGTCTGTGGCATGTCCTGCTCGCGCCCTCAGGGAGCTGGGCGTGGCCGGTGACCCTGACAGAGACAGGTCAGTGGGACACGGGGCAGGTCCCCGTGGAGAGGGTTAGCAGAGGAGGGTGCAGGGCACAGGCACTCAGCGGGAGGCTTCCTGGAGGAGGTGGGGCGTGTGCGGAGGGGCCTGCGCCACGGCAGGGCCGGTAGGTAGCTGGGGGTGGCCCCAGGCGCAGGTGGCCCTGAATCAGGCCCAAGGATGGGAGGAGCCATGACCAGGAAAGGCAGAGGCTGTGGGAGAAGGCGAGGTTGAGGGCCACAGCGCTGTCTTCGCCTGTCGGTGGTTCCCCAAGGCTGTTGGGTAGCACCCCAGACTGGGTCCTCAGCATCCACCCCAAGGGATGCGCTAGACTGTCTCAAACTACTGCAGGTCCCGGGGGTGGAATCTGCTCAGCCAAACAGGGCCCCTCTGTGCGGCCAACCAGCTGTGGGGCTGAGGCCAGAGGGAGGCCGGGACCAGCGAGAGCGACCTCCTGTCCAGCCAGAGAGGACGTGGTGGCCGGTGGGCCTTGGGGAAGCTGTAGGCTCAGGCTCTGGCTCCTGTGGAGCTGACACAAGTGCTGAGAGGTGAGAGGAGGGGATAGAGGAGGCCGAGCCTGCAGGGCCTGAGCCCGGGAGAGGGCCGTGCGTGTTAGCTATGTGACCTGTGCAAGGCTGCCAGTGTGGATGGAAGCTGTGGGAGTCCTGGGGTGCGGGCCACGCTGGAGCAGGAAGTCTGATTCAGCTGCACGGGTGGGGGGCTCAGAGGACACCAGGCAGCTGGGCCTGGGGCCAGCCCCTGGGGGTGGGCTGGATGGGTGTGTGCAGGTTGGAAGGAAGCATCGCTTTCTAACTTGGTCATTTCTTTTGTTTTATAAAGATTCTCAGTGAGGCCAGCTTGGGCTACAGAGCGAGTCCAAGGCCAGCAGGAACTACATAGCGAGGCTCTGTCCCCCACAAGAAAAGTTTCTCAGTGAATACGTTTCTTTCTGCAATCAGGAAGAAATGGAAGCAAGACAGGGCTCTTGGCTGGTGGTAGAGGGGACTCCTGGAGAGCTGCTCCCTCGCCGGCATCCGTCCCTAACCCTGGGCGGGATGGGCAAGACTCCGGGGAGGGGAAGTCAGCGAGGCTGCAGAGGAGGGAGGCACCTGCAATACCACATGCCTGTGATCCCAGCACTCTGGGAGGCTGAGACAGGAGGAAGCAAGTTCAAACCCAGCCTGGGCAACTTAGCAAGACCCTGAAAACTTAAAAAGAAAAAAAAAATTGTGATGTAGCTCAGTGGAAAGCCCTGGTTTCAATCCCTAGAACTGCTGAAAAGAGAAGAGAAGAGAAGAGAAGAGAAGAGAAGAGAAGAGAAAAGAGAAGAGAAGAGAAGAGGAGAAGAGAAGAGAAGAGAAGAGAAGAGAGAAGAGAAGAGAAGAGAAGAGAAGAGAAGAGAAGAAAGAGAAGAGAAGAGAAGAGAAGAGAAGAGAAGAGAAGAGAAGAGAAGAGAAGAGAAGAGAAGAAGAACAGAGAAGATAGGCCTTGAAAGAGCTGGAGGTGTGACTCCATCACACCTACTGAGCTTGCTCTGGACCCTGGGTTGGAGCCCCAGTACCACCAAACCCAAAATAAATATGCCTGAGTCCTCAAAGACACAAGCTCTCCACCTGAGCGTCTTGCAGTAGTGAGCAGCCTCCAGCAGCTACTTAGATGCTTAGATGTCACAAGGGGTCTGGAACCCAAGGCGCAGTGGACTCACGTGGTGGAATACTACGCAGCTGCGGAAGGTGAGGCTGCGGTGAGGCTGCAGAGAGGCCTGGGGTGTGCTGTTAAGTAAAAAGAGCCAGAGGCAGAGCAGAGTGTGTGTGTGTGTGTGTGTGTGTGTGTGTGTGTGTGTGTGTATTTCAATACCATTTGTAAAAACAAAACAAAACAGGAATGAGAAGATGTGTGCTTTTGCTTGTGGGTTCTCAGATTATCTCTAGAAAGTACCAGAAGCCCTTGCCACCAGGAGCAGGGCTAAGCTTGGGAGCAGGGGTCTGTTTATTCTTTCCCACCCCAGTTATTATTACAAAATAGCTCAAGCCAAGAAAGAACACACAGACTATCATTCCCTGCCCCCTTCCCTAAGAAAGAAAACACTCCGGAGCAGCCTAGTGTGATGGCATAAGTCAGTACGAGTAAACCCAGCTACTCGGGAGGCAGAGGCAGGAGGATCACAAGGTCAAGGCCAGCAACTTAATGAGACCCTGTCGTAAAATAAAATAAAATAAAATAAAACAAAAGCTGCTGTGGGTGCGGCTCAGTGGTTGAACGCTGGCTGAGCGTGTGCAAGCTCCTGGATTTAATCACCGGCACCAAAAACACAAGGGGAAAATAATATTTTGGCTACAATGGGGCCCTGTGAACGCTGCGGAGACTCCTACCCTCGAAGGAGCCACCGTGCTGCAGCCGGGCTGCTCCTCCCTGCGTGCCCCTGTGGTGGCCCATGCAGCACCCCGAGTTCTGCACCCTCTGCTAAGGGGCGGCCCCTGCCCCCGGGCGCAGAGTGCGAAGGGCGTCCTACGTGCTGCCACCTCTCCCGGCCGCCTGGCCCTGGGTTTCCTGGCAGAGCCGCTGCCCTCGCCTGCTGGGAGCCGGCGGGAGGAGAAACGAGCTTCGCAGGCCCTGCGCTCGCCTGGCTTCTGCAGGCCTGGCCGGGGCTCGGAGCCAGCAGCCGGCTGGAGCCAGGCGGCCTCCGGGGCCTCCCGCAGCCGCTTTTGATAAAGCCCCTCTGTGCGTGGGGGTGGGGGCCCGGCCGGCTGGAGCCAGCGCACATCTGGAGCCCAGCACAGGCCCGGGGCAGCCGGCGGCTGACAGCGGCGCCACCCCGAGCCACACGCCCGGCCCTGGGTAAACACGCCCGCGCCCACCCAGCGGCTCACCTTTCTCCCACAAGGCTGCCTTTCTTCTCGGACCCAGGCCGAAGCCAGTGTGGACATTCCTCCCAGGCACAGGGCAGAACAGGCTGCTGACCTCAGGGCTGGACCGAAATCCGAATCCAGGCGCCACTGGAGGTGGATGGGGCCTCCGAAAAACACCTACTATGTGCTGGGCACTGGTGTGATTCAGACTCACTGGGAGGGGCCATGTGGTTGAGGATGTGTGCTCTGGAGCTAAAAGCCTTGGTTCAAATTTCAACTTCAGCTGTGTGACCTTAGGCAACTCACTCAACCTCTCTGAGCCCTGGTTCCTTAACCCTGTAAGACACAGTAGCACACTTAGAGGTTCCAGGAATACAATGACTCATCCTGCTGCACCCCTGGGCTTCTGCCCCAGTTACCGCCCCCACCTTTTGTCATCTGCAGAGGGGACAATAGCATCAGGTAGCCAGGCCAGGCCCAGCATGCCTGAAATCCCAGCGCTCAGGAGGCAGACGTGAGAGTGGCAGATGTATGTGAGTTCGAGGCCAGCCTGGGCTACACAGTGACACCCCGTCTCAACTAAAGCATCAGGTACCAGTCATGTCGGGTGTCAGGGACACTCCATGAGAACGGGCACAGGGAGGGCACAGTGCCTGGCACAAAGCAACAGACTGATGGCAGAAGGCCAGGGCAGCTTCCTGGAGGAGGCCACGCACAGCCAGGTGGTAGCAGAAGCTGGGATGGAGGAGAAGCAGCACAAGCACTTGGCGGGACTTCTGGTGATCCTTCCAGGTCTGTACTCTCCACATTCCCATTTTACAGAGGTGCAAGCTGAGGCCCAGAGAGTGGAATGATTTTACTTGCTCAAGCTTGAGCCAGAGCCAGAACCTAATGCAGCAGCAACGATGCCTGCCTGTCTTGCCTCTTCTCCTCTGGGCTGCACTGCCCCGCTGTGTGTGGGAGCCCCAGAGCTGGAGCAAACTGGGCGCCAACCCACCAGGAGCCCTCTTGACCCCGCTCCACCCCCGGCCCTTCTGGACCTTCGTTTCCCTCCTCTGAGCAATGGGCTCGGCCTCTGCAGCCCCTTCCAGCCCAGGGCCCCTGACTCAGGCAAAGCGCGTGTGAGGCAGCCGAGGCCGGCTGGCGGCCAGGGGGTCCTCCACCTGCTGCCACCCCCAGCCCCTCATGAACCTGCTCGCCAGGCTGGAGCCAGCCGCCATCTGGAGCGACGGGCTGTTTAAGGAGCCAGGCGGCGGCGGCCCTGGCCCTGACCTGGCCAATCTGGAAGCGATTAGCGGCTGGGCTGCGGAGCATTTGGAGTTGTCATCAGTCGGCCGGGACCGCCCCCCCACCCTGCTAACCCCACAGCCGCACTGCCTGGAGCTGCGGCGGCTGGGGGGTCTCTGCAGAGCCCCCTCCTGCGGGGCTGCAGCTGGGACCCGCTCCAAGGCCGGGAGCTGGGAATGACGGCAGCGGCGGTACGGCGGTGACAAGACTGGGCCACACACAGGCCAGGGCTCAAGGGTGGGGCCAGGACAACTGAGGGCTTTGCCTGGGGAAGGGAACCTCTTGCAGAATTTCTTTCGGGTGAAAATGCATGGAGTAGGTCGCAGGGGAAACGGAACAGCTCCACGGCAGAGCAGGGCCAAACAGGTCTCATGTGAGTGTGGGGTCCCCATCCCGCCTCACTGAGCCCCCGGGGCCGGGGTTGTAGGTCCTCTGCGGGCGCACACCGCACACCGTTTGCCTGTTTTCCTTTTGCTCCGAGCGACCCTCACACACCCATCCTGCCCCTGCCTTTCTCCCATGGGTCAGTTTGCTCCCAGAGTGACAATACGGGAGGGAACAGCACACCTCCCAAGGGCTCTCCACGGAGTCCGCACAGGTGAGCTGGCCCCCTCTGGAGGCCCTGTCACCATCCTGGCTGCCACTGGCGGAGGAGGAGCAAGGCGCAGAGGTGGGGCCCCCGCCCTTCTCATGCCGGGACAGCGGAGCTGAGACTCGGGGCCCAGCCATGCGATCCCCGGCCATCCTGCCTCTCCCAGGCTCCAGAACATTCTGAAGCCCACAAGCGGGTGGGAGAGGCCTCCTGACCGCAGCTGGCTCGCTTCCATCGGGGCTGGCGGGAAATGTGCTGGGAGCAGCCTGGGGGGACGTCACCGAGGTGGGGGAGCTCCGTTCCCAGAAGGGGCCTGGCCAGGCACAGTGGGCAGTGGCTAGGGGCCAGGAGCCCGACTGTCCTGCGTGGGGGTGCTGCTGACCCAGGTCCCTGCCCACTAGCACATCCTGAGTCTGTTTCCAAGAAACTCCGGTGGCCCAGGGGGTCAGGGGTGTGGCTCCCTCAGCTCTACACCTGCCCATTCTCTGCCAGGTGGACAGGACCCTGTCCCTTCAGCCGCCCACTTCCAGTGTCCTCCTTCCATGCCCCACTCCTGCTACAGCCAGAGCAAACCCTGTAATGCCTAAGTGCAAGCTGTGTGTGGTGCCACCTGCTTGGAATTCCATCTACTCAGGAGGCTGAGGCAGGAAGATTGCAAGCTTGGAACCAGTCTAGACAATTTAGTGAGACTTGGTACATTAAAAAGGGCTGAGGGTGCAGTCATCGGTACAGCACTTGCACAAGGGCCTGGGTTCAATCCCAGTGCCCTAAAAGAAAAGAAGAAATAAAAAACTTCACTTTTGACAGACCTGAGGTCTGTCTGCCCACACTGGGTGTCCAACAAGGACACTGACGGTGGCCAAATATGGTGCTTTCTGTGTGCCAGGCCCTGGCATATGTGCTTTCCACAAGTGCATGCATTTGAGCCTCAGCACAACCTCCAAGAAGGGGGGCTGCTTCCCCATTTCACAGGTGAAGAAACTGAGGCTCAGAACTGGCATGTGACTTGCCCAGGAACATACCAGCATAGATCCAGGAAGGGACACCAGGAAATTACACATGGCCACAGATTCTAGATCAAGGGTGAAGTCAACCTGTGAGGGAAGGAGCAACACAGGGGTCCAGGAGGAGGCTCAGGGTCCCCAAGGACCTCCCTTGGAGGCAGGGACGTAGGGACCAAGTTCCATTCCAGACGTTTTTGTGAGCTAAGAGCCTGGCAGCGAGTGGCCAGGTCGCCACATCACCCAGTGATTAACGGCGAGCATGCGGCCGGGCTTCGGCCAGCTCTGAGGCAGCCCCTCCAGCCCCGCACCCCCAGGCTCCCCCCGTGACGTGGCTGTGGTGGCATTTGGCAACCTGGGTTTCCCACAGTTATGACAGTCCTGTGAATCTGCCAGCTGGGCGGGGCTGCCCTGCCTCTGCCGGCAGAACCCCCTCCCGGAGCCTGGCCAAGGCGCCCCCACACCCCACCTGTCTCCTTGACACTGACTGACCCTTCTGTCCAAACTCCACAGGCACAGCTGGTGCCCAGCAGGTACAGTATGTGCAGAAGGAGCTCATGAAAATTTGAGCAATGCATTGCAATTATGTTTTTATTTTTCATTTTGAGACAAGAGTTTCACTAAGTCTCTAGGTTGCCCAGGCTGGGCTTGAACTTGCCACCTTCCTACCCCCGCCTCCCAGAGTGCTGGGATTGCTGGCCCACAGCCTCACACCCTGCTTGGCTGAAATTATTTGTTCATCCCTCCTTCCTTTCCACAGACAGGAAACACCTCCTATGTGCCGGGCACTGTGCAAAATAGCAGGGACTCGGCGGCAGTTGACAGAAAGACCAACTGCCCCCCAAGAAAAGACCAAACCGCTGCGTACGGGAGCTGCAAAGGGAGCAGGCAACAGCAGGTGCGCACGCGGCTGGGAGGCAGGGAGAGGCCAGGTGCTGTCGCCCAGGGCGGTAGGCGGGCGTCTCCTCAGCCGGGGACCCTGCAGCCACGGCCAAGCTCCTGCCGGTGAGTCTCGAGGGACGGGGACCTTCCCAGTGAGCAGGACTCGCGTTATGAAAGAGGAAACCCCGGGGCCTCCCGGCCAGGAAGGTTTCTGAGGAAGTGACGCCGGCCAAACCCACCTGGAGCAGATCCCCCGCCATGGGGTCCGGGAGGAAGAGTGTTCCCGGCAAGGGCACGGCCGGGGCACAGGCAGGAAGGCTGTCACCGCCCCTCGGAAGCTGGCGACACAGCCAGGCGCCCTCTCGCCTTGGCTTCTTCCCGTGGGAAGGGATGCGAGCGTTCCCCAGCCCACACCGGCAGGTGCTCCTGAGGGCGGCGTCCGCGGCGGGCAGGGGCCACCAGCCTCGTTTCCTCATCTGTGAGGGGGGACCGTGCTGACCCACCCCAGGGACCCAGGAGTACCTTCCGCTCACTGCTCCACCTGGAGCCCAAAATCACCTCTCCGGGGCTGGCACGACAGGGTGGGTGACACTGAGGCCGGAGGGGGCCCTGATGGGCTTGGAAGGAAATGACCGCGGCCCTGTTTACAACAGCAGGAAACTAGGGCACAATGTCAGCTAAAAAGAAAAACATGGCTGAGGATTTAGCTCAGTGGCACAGCGCCTGCCTGGCAAGTGCAAGGTCATGAGTTCAATTCCCAGTACCGGAAAAAAACCAAACCAAAAAAAAAAAAAAAAAAAATCCCACCTCTTAAAGAAGTTAGAGGGCTGGGGATTTAGCTCAGTGGCAAAGCGCCTGCCTGGCAAGCACAAGGTCGTGAGTTCGGTTCCCGGTCCCGGAGAAAAACCAAAAAACACCAAAAAAAAAAAAAAAAGAAAAACATGCCAGTCGTGCACACTGTATTCCCAGCACTTGGGAGGCTGAGGCAGGGGGATCACCGTGAGTTGGAAGCCAACCTGGGCTACATAGTGAGATCTTGTTTCAAAAAAAAAAAAAAAGGTAACCCTCACTTGCCTGGCATGTGCAAGACCCCAGGCTCAATCCCAGCACTGCATGGCTGTGTTCTCACCAGGGGCCCCACCCTGCTAGGGCCTTGGGTCTCTGTGTGGGAAATAACAGGTGAAGTTGGTGTCAGGACTTGGTGACCCCGCCCTGGGGCAGCGGCTCCGGAGTCTCAGCAGTAACTTCTCCTTCTCTCCTCCTACAGCACACACCACGCTCACACCGAGCTCCTCTGACGGGGGCGGGGGGAAGCTGAAGAACGGAGAGGGGATTGACGCCCGATCGCGGCCTTGGCCTCCTGAGGGCCCAGGACTGCGTGTGCCCCTTGAACGGAGAACTCGCCTGCGGGAGACCCAACGATGTGTGGCGGGACCAGACAGGGGAAGGACAGCGAGGAGATCGAGGGACTGGCAGGGCTGTGACCGGCGTGGGGGGCCCGCCGGAGCCCACCGCGCACCGCCGCCTGGCCAGCTCTGCAGGGGCGGAGCCATAGGAAGTCCCATATCCCTCAGGCCCGCCTGGGTCCGGCCCAAACAAACAGGAAATGCCAGGCAGTCCCCACCCCAAGGTCGTGGGAAGCCGCTGTGGCCGCGGGGCTCCCAGCCCCAGCCCAGCTTCTGTGGGGCGGCCGGGCTGTCTGGCCTTGGGCAGGGCCCTCCCCTCTCTGGGCTCTGCTGCCCCTTAGTCCCGCGCTGTGGGGTGACAGGCGGTGTCACCTTCACAGTGGCCGTCCCCCTCCGAGGCGCAGATTTCTCTTCTGTGAAATGAGAACAGGGCACATCCGCCGAGCCGTGGTTAGCCCCAGCAGGGACAGCAGGGAGGGCCCGGCTTTGGAAAAGCCACTGGGCCCAGGGCCTTCGCTACCTCCTGTGCCTCCGTCTCCCTCGCGGGCTGCACTGGGGTGGCCACCCGTGGGCATCGGCTGGCAGTGACGGGAGGCGAGAGGCGTGGATGCAGCGGCCAGGGGCCTGGAGAGTGCCGCCCTCGGTTCCGGCTCCGGGGAAGGGCAGGCCCGAGGTCGGGGCAGGACTGGATCCCGCCCATCGGGGCTTGCCGAATGCTCACAGGGGCCAGGGGGGACGGGGACTTAGGGCCAGGCAGAGTTCTGGGGTTCTGTGCACTCCTCATGGTCCCTCAGGCAGGGAGCTGCCGCTCCAGCTGCCAGGCCTGCTGTGTGTGGGCCTCACACCTCCCTGCTTGGAGCTGCAACCTGTTGCAAGTGGTGGAGCCTGGAAGATCAGAGAGGCACAGCAACTTGCCTAAGGTCACACAGCAGTGTGGCCACCACTGGAGTGGGGAGAGTCCCAGGTGTGAATGGAAAGAAAACCATTTGTCAGGCCCATGCCACGAGCATATGGCAGGTCCCTTTGAGGTGGCAAATGTGTGATGGGCTTGTATGCTTGGGCCAGGCCATGCCTTGGTGCTGGGTACCTTCTGGGCAGGCTGGGAAGTGGCCTCTGACAGCACTATAGGAGTGCGTGGAGTAAGGCTAAGGCCTCGAGTCCAGTACACTGGGGCCTTTGCTGTGCCGCTAATGCTCACAACTGTCACCTAATTCCCTGCCTCAGTTTCCTCATCTGCACCTTGGAGATCATGAGTGCCCTCCACAGAGCTCCTCGGAAGGTTCTGTGTCTTCTGCACCACGCCGACCAGGTTAGGTACCTGTCTGCTTGCCTTCGCCAACCAGTCCAACACCCAGACAGTACCCGGTGTGCAGTAGGTGCTCACGCTGTCTCAGTAGCTGCTGCCATTATTGCAAGGTTGAGGTGCTCCTGCCTCAGCTGCCTGAGAGCTCAGGCAAAGTGCTACACTCCTCCTCAGCTCAGCCTTGACTTCCCCTTCATAAAGAGGCCAGTGCCTGACGTGGTGGCACACGCCTGTAATCCCAGCACTCAGGAGGCTGAGGCAGGAGGATTACTGCAACTTCGAGGCCAGCCTGGGCTACAAAGTGAGCTCGAGGCCAGCCTGAACTGCAGAGTGAGACCCTGTCTCACAAAGACATAAAGAGGCCAGTAATTCCCCTGGCCTCCCGGGGCAGAGCTGCCAGGCCTCTTCTCACCCTCCGCAGATACCTACTAAGCGCCTACTGCCTCTGTGGCACTGGGGTTTTGGCGGAAGCAAAGCAGAACAGTCCTGTGCGTGGTGAGGTTCACCATGAGACAGCGTCTGAGAGCGAGGCGTGTTGGCCCAGTCAGGCCTGGGGTCTTCTGGGGCTTGGGTTGGCTGGATAAGGACGAGCCAAGGGGCCGGGAACAGATCTGGGGGTGTGTCTTGGAGGGGAGGAGGAACCTCGGGCCCAGGCAGACAAGGATGGGGGAGAAGGGGTGAATCCTGGTCCCCAGATCTTCCCCAGGCAGCAGCTGAGGGAACAGAGGCTTGGAGAGAGCTAGTGGGACCCCCAGGACCCCAGAGTTCCAGGGAAAGTGGCCTCACCTGGCCTTGGGCAAAGCCCAGACGGACTTTCCTGCCTGCAAATCTCGCACCTCTGGGCCTCTCCCCACCGCCCGCAGCCGCAGCCTCGGGTCCTAATCCGCCCCCGGTCTCCACCTGAAGCCCGGCCGTGCAGTCATTAAATCCTTAATAAACAGTGACTGGAAGTCAGGGTGACATTCATGGCCTGAGTCTGCTCGAGGGGGCTCCATCAGGGTCCCCCGCTTAAACTGGGGGCTGAGACTGGGAAGCGGGCAGGGCGGGTGCCACAGCCCAGGGTCACACAGCGGTGGAAGTGGGACCGGAGCCCCCAGCCTGCAGTCCAGGCCGAGCTCTTGCAGAAGGTGTGGCCTGAAGCAAGCATGCAAGGTGTCACCTTGCAAGACAGGTGGGGAAACTGAGGCCCGGGAAGGCTCAAGGACCTGCCCCTTGTGGCACTGAGACCCCAAAGGCAGTCTCTGCTGCCAGGCCTCCCCACCCCACCCCCAGCTCTGCAGGAAGTGGCCAGGGCTGGGCCAGGCCTTCCGCTTTGATCCGCTTTACGAGCCAGGGCTGTTTATGGAGAGCTCAGCCCCCACCCCCGCCACCCGGGGCTGTGTCTCGTCACTGGCACTCAGGATATTAGTGGTCCCTGGAGGGTCTGCCCCTGGGTCCTGTCCCAGTCCACCCCCCGGGGCTGGCCCAAGCCCGGCCCTGGCAACAGGGAGGGGAGGGGGCACGGCCAGCCTTAGCCCAGACCCCTCCATGGTAGGTGGAGGCCAGCCAGGCCTCCAAAGGCAAACAAAAGCTCAGTCCCACCCCAGGGCCTTTGCCCTTGCAGGGTGGAAGCCCGGCCCCACTCCCTGCCCTTCCCGTGACCCTCAGCCCCTCCGCTCATACCACAGCCCCCCCTCAACCCTCTAGGGCGGTGTAGCGAACCTATCGCACTTGTGCCGCGTTGAGCTGTTTGTTTCACTGACAGCCCTGAAAGGTTCGCCATCCCTGCCCTGGACAACCTTAATTCCTCAGCCCACGTCACCACGGTCTGGGAGTCTCTCCTGTGGCCATTCTGCCCTCCTGCCCAGCGTAGAGCCCTCGTCCATCCTGATCCATCCTGCGTCCCCAGCACGCACTGGCCGCTGTCCGAGAGAGAAGCACTGGGGTTTGGGCCAGAGTGCAGTTCCGCCCTCTCCACAGAGGGGGACACCGCCTCAGAGGTGACCGCCACAGCCACTGGCCCCAGCCCGAGACGCAGGACGGGGAATCTCTCCAGATCCCCTTGCCCCGGGCCCAGCCCCCGCTGCACCCCCACTCACCCCGGGCTGGCTTCAGTCAGGCTGGTTCAGGGCTCGGGACACAGGGGCTTCCCTGGAGCAACGCTGTGGGGTGCAGTGGACTCCTGCCTCGCTCCCACCAGAGGCTTGGCACCCCCCAACACCCACAGTGCCCCAGCAGCCAGCTTTGTCCTCAGATGCCTCAGGCGCCAGGAGCACATCTCAAGAACTTTTTATTTATTTACTTATTTATTTATTTTTGTCCTTTTGAGACAGTTCTCCCATGCAGTTCAGGCTGGCCTTGAGCTCACTTTGTAGCCCTGGCTAGTCTCGAACTCACAATGATCCTCCTGCCTCAGCCTCCCGAGTGCTGGGATTACAGGGGTGCGCCACCACGCCCGGCTCAGAAGCACATCTGGCCTGGCCAGGAGGCAGCATGTGGGAGGGGGCACCCGCTGGGGGCAGCCCTGGAGGCAGCCTTGTGGTCATCCTTCATTCTACCTGAGGCAATAGAGGTGCAGGAGCAGAGGGGGCAGGGCACTCGCTCAAGGTCACACAGCAAACGGAATTCAAACCCCTTTTGTGTGTTTCTCCTGCTCCCCCAACTTGCCTCTTCCTGGGGAGTCAAGGTTACTTGAACCTTTACTGAAATGGGCTCTGCCCTGCTCCCTGTCTCTCTGGCTGGCACTCAGGGTTCATGGTTCTGGTCTCTCCAGGGCACTGCTCAGCCCACAGCCCATGTCTGTGAGCACAGACCCATGCGGCCCCAGGGAGAAGAGGCTGAGCCGGTGCTAGCCCCAGGGAGCCCCGCCTTCTGCCTGCCCGCCTGGCAAGTGGTCCAGAGGCACCTGCCCACCCAGGGCCCAGGAGAACCCAGATTCCCAGCATCCAAACTACCACACCGCACAGATGAGGAAACTGTGGTTCAGAGAGGGCAAGACACCTGTCTGCGGTCACACAGCTGGAAAGGCAGGTTGAACAAGCCCCGGTGGACTCTTTCTGCTTAGCCACAACCTCTGCCCCCTTTTGTTGCACTGTTGAAAACCCCGGGAGATGGATGCTTACAGTAAGCCCATTGTGCTGATGAGGAAACGGGGCTCCCAGAAAAGTAACTCATCGGGGCTTTTGTCATTCAGTTAACCAGTTGTTACTCACCACCTAGGATGTGCCAGGCCAGAAGAGATAAACAGGGACCAAGCCAGCCCAGCTTTTGCGACCACCCCCCACACCCCCGTGAGAGAGACCCACACTGAACCACTCAAGAAGTGACACGCACCAAGCGTGGCAGGTAGGCTTGGGTCTGAACCGCACTTGTCCCTTGCTGTGTGGCCTTGAGCAAACCACTTACCTCTCTGTGTCTCCAGCCCCTCAGATGTAAAATGGGAGGTGACCACAGCACCTGTGTCATGGGGTTGCCCCGTTCCGAGCTGAGGAGGGAGCTCTCTACCACTGCTTCCTGTTCTTCCACCGCGCAAGTCTTTATTGAGTGCCTACTGTATACCAGGCTCTGCTCTGGGAGCCAGAGACGCACGAGTGACCAAGGTGAAACGGCCCCCGCCCTCATGGGGTCCAGGGCCCTGACCCTCAGGGCAACAGTGGCAGAGCTGCTTCAGTGCCCCCTCCTCCAGGAAGCCCCCAGGGTGACCCCAGCCCTGGCACCCGCCTCACTCTGGGACTCAGGTGGACCCCGGCACCGCACCGCTCCACCCACATGTGCCCAGAGCTGCCGGTCTGGAGCTGGCACCAGGACTGGGGGACAGCACAGGCACTGACAGCAGGAGCCAGGCAGGGTGGGAAAGAGGTTGTGGGCGGGACGGTCCCTCCCCTGCTGCCCCGGCCTGGCTGTGCCCGGGCCAGTCCCAGTTCTGTGTCATGTGAGTCCTCTCTGGCACAGAGTGGCCCGGGGACTTCTCTAGGGCACACAGCAGACACTCAGGCTTGGACCCCAACCGATAGGCAGGGACCCACAAGGGCCAGAGGAGCCTCGCTGGACCCCACGGGGTGTGGAACATCCTTGCCACAAGCTTTCAGCAAAGCGCAGGCTCCCTTCTCACGGCGACAGCCGGAGCTCCTGCCCACCTCGGTCCCCACCCCGGCCATCCCACCTACCTTCCATGCACCCAGTGCCCGCCAGGCACCCGAGTCCCTGCCCTTGCCTAAAGGAAGGGCAAGAACAACAACCGGGCCAGGCACGGTGGCACGCACCTGTGAGCCAGCTACTCAGGAGGCTGAGGCAGGAGAGCGCGAGTTCGAGGCAGCCGGGGCAGTTTAGCAAGACAGTGAGTTCATCAGCCAGGCAGGGATACAGCTCAGTGTGGAGCACCTGCTCGCTCGCACAGGGGCTGGGCTCCATCCCCGCCCTGCGGGGAGAAAGGAAGGCACGAGGAATGGTGGAATTTCAGGACAGGGTCAAAGTGGAGAGGGTCTGGGCCCCCACAGCAGCCCTGGAGCTGCTGGGCTCATCCCAGCCGGGAGGGAGCGTCCTCTCGGACCTCTCCAGGCTCTGCTGACCGGTGGTCCTGCCTCGAGTGTGTACACGGTCCCCCCCGCCCCATGGGCCTAGGGCTGAACTACACACTTTGCACCCATGTGTGTTTGTGGGTACCCAGGGACTCGAATTTTGGATCTGCCATTTCCTGGCCCTTCTCAGGGCCCAGCTTTCTCATCCAGAGAGCAGACCTGGAGCTGCTCACGCAGCAAGAAACATCACTCCCCCACACGACGCAAAGCCGAGTGCCGGTGTGCTCCCTCCTGAATCCCCAGGATGAGGAAACTGAGGCACGGAGGACTGAGGCTCCCAGGGCACCACCTGACTCCCTGCACACTCGATATTAGTGGTAGCTCCAGCATCAATTTGGGGGTGCTAGGGAGCCAACCCAGAGCCTTGCACTGCTGGACAAGCGCCGTCCCAGGGAGCCTCCTCCCCGCCACTCGGCTGGGGCTCTTCCTGTGCGCCCGGGACCCCTGTGCACGGAGCAGGCCCTGCACATCAGCGTGCGTGGGTGTGGGTGTGCGAGCCAACCTGGGGAGCACAGAGGACTGCACACGTGTCCCTCCATGTACGCAGAGGTCTGCCTGGGCCATGTCCGTGGGTCTGCACACGTGTGTCTGTCCCTACATGCCCGAGTCCGCCTGGACCCGTGTGTCCGCCCTTAGACATGCACACGTCTCCCCACCGCATGTTCCTCTGTGCACACGCCCTCCCGGATGCCTCCTGCTGCCCCAGCTGCCAGGGTGGCAGAGAGGTGTGGTGGGGCTCAGGCTCCTCCCATGTGTCAGGCCCAACCTCACCCCCAGACCCAGCGTCAGAAGGGGGAGCGGATCCACCAAGGGGGTTGCTGCTGGCCTGGGGCGTCCGCAGGGTGGCTCCCCGCTATGCCATCCACCTGCAGGACCCAAACCTTGTCCACCCGTCACAGTCACAGGCGCACAGACACTTTTACTGCACTCCTGCGACAGCGCATCTCCCAGATACGCAGCAGACACAGCACTCAACACACGCACACAGCCGAGACCTGACAGAAAGGCCAGACCCACAGCACAACGGGCCCACACACAACACACACCGCACACAGACACCACCAATGGCGAGGCACAAATGGCCCAAATCAGCGACTCACTATGTCTGCAGTGGTTCATCGTGACAATTTTTTACACCTAACAGCAGGAAAAACTGAGCAAGAAACCCCTCTTCACACTTGGTAGGCAGCCCAGGGGGGCACACAGAGAAGGGAGGGCCAGAACCAATCACCCAGGAACAAAGCTGACTGTGCCAGCTGCTGCTTACTTCCCTGTGCCTCAGTGTCCCCATCTGTGAAATGGGCACAGTGAAGGTGACCAAACTAATCCCTGAAAAGGTTCAGAAGGGG